GAAAAATCAAACTAACCAGTCACTTATCCCTTCCTTTCGCATAAACCACTGTATAATTATAGAAACACAAAGTAAACTCTCTCCAATACATGCCCATTAACATATTAAACTAAGTTCATCTGTGTTCAAACTCAGACAAAGATACTAGCGAGCTTAATAGTTTTAGATATTTATTCATAACATAAACAGCGCTAGCATTTCTGTCGATTCCATTTCAGCTTAACCGGCTATCCAGAAGAATACATGCACCGTACTAACTGTTACGGCAGTTATTTTCTCCTTTGAATAATGCCCACCTGCAATAATGATTCCGTAACATACTCCTTGTGCTATCTTTTGGCCATTTGGCAACTTTTCGTTTCGTAGCTGACACGATACAACACTTTTCTTTCGCTTACTTTCGCCAGTCATTTTGTTTACAAAGAAATGGTGTGCTATGCGCATGCACTTGTAGAGGGAAATCCCTGAACAAAACGTTGGTCAGACAGGTAGAAATACCGATGATTTTCTTAGATTTAATCATTTTTATGAGTCTATTTCAGCCAAATCCGATCGTTATTTTCCATAAGGAGTCTCACTTGATATGTTTATGTAGTATTTGAAAAAAAGACAAAAAATAAAGTTACTTCACCGTGATGCCCCTTTAACAAAGGGTCATAACTCCTTAAAAGGGTTGAAATGAAAACAATACTAGCCTGATGCACGACATCAGGGGGTAATTACAATATCTGTAAACTTTCATTGAGTTCCGCCGAGTAGTTTGTGAGGCAGTCAAAGGTTTATTCAACAAAGGGCCATAACTCTTTTTTAAAGGGTAGGATGAAAAAGTACTACTTGGATGCACAACGTCAGAGGCCAGTTACCACATATCTGTGATTTTGTTTTAAAAATTGGCCCAGTAGATTAGGAAAAGTTGTCAGGACAAGAATTTTTGAGAGGAATAGTGTGAACAAGTCAAACGAAGGGACATAACTCTATAATGAAGGGAGGGAACATCGCTTTGTTTATGTTATTGCCAGACCCTCTTTGTTACAAATGCAATAACTCCATAGAAAAGGGGTTGGAAAAAAAATGCCTGGATGCACAAGGAGTAGTTATCATATCCAAAAATGTTTCGTTGAAGCTGGCTGCATAGTCTTGGATGAGTTGTCAGGATAAGCATTTTTCAACAAAGGGCAAGAACTCCATAAAAAAAGGGATAGATTGAAAAAATCAAACCTGGATGCACAACTTCAGGTAGTAGTTATCATATCTAAAACATTTCGTTGAAATCGATCTGTAACTTTAAAAGGAGTTGTCCGAACATTTTTGTTAGGATTTTTTGAACAAAGAGCCACAACTTTGTAAAAATAGTTCAGAATGAAAAAGAATATTTTTTTGGAAGATAATAGCATCACTGTTTAATAATAAATGATATCCCATCTGCTGAAGATTTGTGTTGCACATGTATTATCATACAAGTGGCATTGTCATAAACATCGTGGCAACAGTCAGATTCATTCCCCACTAGTGGCAACCATTGCCTGTACACACTGTGCCATACACTCCATCACTGTGCCATACACTCCATCAATGTGTCATATACTCCATCACTGTGTCATACACTCCATCACTGTGTATGAATGTGTCATACACTCCATCACTGTGTCATTCACTCGATCACTGTGTCATACCCTCCATCTCTGTGCCATACACTCCATCACTGTGTCATACTCTCCATCACTGTGTATGAATGTGTCATACACTCCATCTCTGTGTCATTCACTCCATCACTGTGTCATACACTTAATCACTGTGTATAAATGTGTCATACACTCCGTCACTGTGTCATTCACTCGATCACTGTGTCATACACTCCATCACTGTGTATGAATGTGTCATACACTCCATCAATGTGTCATACACTCCATCACTGTGTCATTCAATCCATCACTGTGTCATACACCCAATCACTGTGTATGAATGTGCCATACACTCCATCACTGTGTCATTCACTCGATCACTGTGTCATACGCTCCATTAAAATGTCATACCCTCCATCAATGTGTCATTCACTCCATCTCTGTGTCAATCACTCCATCACTGTGTCTTACACTCCATCTCTGTACCATACACTCCATCACGGTGTCATTCAATCCATCACTGTGTCATTCACTAGATCACTGTGTCATACCCTCCATCAATGTGTCCAGCACTCCATCCATGTGTCATACACTACATCACTGTGTCATACGTATGAATGTGTCATTCACTCGATCTCTGTGTCATTCACTCGATCTCTGTGTCATTCACTCCATCAATGTTTCATACACTCCAGCAATGTGTCATACACATCACTGTGTCATATACTCCATCACTGTGTACCATTGCCTGTAGACACTGTGCCATACACTCCATCCCTGTGCCATACACTCCATCACACTGCCACACACTCCATCACTGTCTCATACACTCCAGCACTGCGTATACACTCCATCAGTGTGTCATACACTCCTTCACTGTGTCATACATGACACAGTGATGTAGTGTATGACATTTTGATGGAGTGTATGCCACAGTGATGGAGTGTGTGGCAGTGTGATGGAGTGTATGAGTGTATGACATAGTGATGGAGTATATGACACAGTGATGGGGCGTTTACACAGTGATGGAGTCTATACACTCTGATGGGTTGTATGACACAGTGCTGTAGTGTATGACACATGGATGGAGTGCTGGACACATTGATGGAGGGTATGGCACAGAGGTGGAGTGGATGGCACATTCATACGCAGTGATTGGGTGTAGGACACAGAGATGGATTGAATGACACCGTGATGGAGTGTATGGCAAAGTGTGTACAGGCAATGGTACGTAGTGATGGAGTGTATAGACAGTGCTGGAGTGTATTACACATTGATGGAGTGAATGACACATTGATGGCGTGTATGACACATTGACGGAGTGTATGACATAGTGATGGAGTGCATGGCACAGTGATGGAGTGCATACACATTGATGGAGGGTATGGCACATTCATACGCAGTGATTGGGTGTAGGACACAGAGATGGATTGAATGACACCGTGATGGAGTGTATGGTACAGAGATGGAGTGTATGAGTGTATGACATAGTGATGGAGTGCATGGCACAGTGATGGAGTGTATTACACATTGATGGAGGGTATACATAGTGATGGAGTATATGACACAGTGATGTAGTGTATGACACAGTGCTGTAGTGTATGACACAGTGAAGGAGTGTATGACACAGCGATGGAGAGTATGACACAGGGATGGAGTGTATGGCACAGGGATGGAGTGTATGGCACAGTGTCTACAGGCAATGGTACGTAGTGATGGAGTGTATGAGACATTCATACACATTCATGGAGTGTATGACATTTTGATGGAGTGTATACGCAGTGCTGGAGTGTACGACACATTCATACACTCCATCAAGGTGTATGAATGTGTCAGCCCCTCCATCACTGTGTCAACTGTGCCATACACTCCATCACGATGTCATACACTCCATGAATGTGTATGAATGTGTCGTACACTCCAGCACTGCGTATACACTCCATCAATGTGCCATACACTCCATCCCTGTGTCATTCACTCCATCTCTGTGCCATACCCTCCATCAATGTGTATACACTCCATCAATACACTCCATCACTATGTCATACACTCCGTCAATGTGTCATACAATCCATAAGAGTGTATACACTCCACCACTGTGTCATTCAATCCATCTCTGTGTCCTACACCCAATCACTGCGTATGAATGTGCCATTCTCTCCATCACTGGGTCATTCACTCGATCTCTGTGTCATTCACTCGATCAATGTGATGGAGTGTATGACCCAGTGATCGAGTGAATGTCACAGTGATGGAGTGTGTGACACATTCATACACTCCATCAATGTGTCATACACTCCATCAATGTGTCATACACTCCAGCACTGTGTCATACAATCCATCAGAGTGTATACACTCCATCACTGTGTCATACACTCCATCACTGTGTATACACTCCATTACTGTGTAAACACTCCATCAATGTGTCATACACTCCAGCACTGTCTATACACTCCATCACTGTGTCATACTCTCCATTAAAATGTCATACACTCCATCACTGTGTATGAATGTGTCATACACTCCATCAATGTGTCATACACTCCATCACTGTGTCATACACTCCATCAGAGTGTATACACTCCATCACTGTGTCATACACTCCATTAAAATGTCATACACTCCATCACTGTGTCATACACTCCATCACTGTGTCATACCCTCCATCAATATGTCATACGCTCCATCACTGTGTCATACACTCGATCACTGTGTCATACACTCCATCTCTGTGCCATACACTCCATCACTGTGTCATTCAATCCATCAGAGTGTATACACTCTGATGGAGTGTATGACACAGTGATGGAGTGTATACACTCCATCACTGTGTC